TGTATATATTTATTTATTTATCTACACTCACAGTCGCACATACATACACATGCATGTGCACGTGCGAATCTGCGTTGGTTCATTTGTCTGTTCATGCACAATTATGTTGGTTTGGCGTGAAGCCTGGCTTCGAGACGCTCTAAGAAGTTACCCTGTCCCAGAGCCTGGAAGGTTCGCGGTCGCACTTGATCCTCATCATCCGAGTCGTTGGTCCGGTGCCCCGGTGCAGCAGTGGCAGTCCGAAGAAGCTGAGAAGACTACGGGAGGCAGTGGAGAGGCGTATGTAGACATTATGTAAGCAGGCATCCAAGTTTGCAGGGGATGAGTATCGACAGGTAGATGCAGAAGGTTGGCATGTGTAGTTGTGTACAACATGTGACGACTGCCGTCTCACATGGGTGCTCTGCGCATGAGGCGTAAACAAGCAGACGGAGCAGAAGCTCAGTGGAAAGTCACGTTGGCTTTGTCTTTTATGGCTTGAAGACCGTGGAGAGCTTGCCACAGAAGCTGCGAGCCCATTAGCTTGCCAGGATTCTCCTGTGCGATCTGGCCGGATCCGAGCGGTTGAAGAAGTCCGACGTTGCCGGCCTCAACTTCTTACCGGGCTCAAGGGGGGGGGGGGGGGGGGGGCAGTGCCCTCTGACAGAGCCTATGCCGTCTGAGGTTTCCGGCGACGCACAAAAGGAAGCCATCGAGATCAACAAGCTATCGTCTCAGCGAGCTTTTCAGGCCCTGTGCTTGTTGGGGGGCACTGATCGCAGCCTGCATGAGGTCACTAACAGCTTTGGGCGATGCGGCTTGCCTCGTCAATCACAAGTCAAGGTTTTCTTAGCTTCTGCTTGTGTCCTTGCTCAGGTCATGGAATCCTTGGTGAAAGGCCTCGCCTGGGGAAAGTGAGCTTGGAAGTCTTCCGGCATGGCCTCTGCGCAGAGGTGCTGCGCACGTGCCATACAAGAACCACAAACTCACCCAAGTGATGCCGAAGCCACAGCGAAGCTTCAGAAAAGAGTCTTTCACCAGATCTCAGCCGTGGAGTTTACGATTACGGGATGCTGCTGGCGCATGCAGCGGCTTCGTGCGCTTGGCGCCGCCGTGAGGTCGGATGCCTTGGGCGGGACGTCGCTGACTTAGCTCCTGGCTGCTTGGAAAGCCTTCCAAAAAAGGAAGTGTCTGAGAGGTCGAAGACCCTGATGTTCGTAAACTGCTCGCCGGCAAGCTCCAACTACGAGGCCGCTCTCCGTTTGCGCAAGACGCGGACGCCCGGGGGAGAGGAGGGCATGGACTCACAGAGTACCCTCTTTCTAAGGAGACCGTGATGACGTTGAAGTTTGCAACCCGAGCTGGGCCCCAAGGATCTTTTGTGAAGGCCTGCGAGTTCGAGTGCCCAGTAGCCTATGAATCCATAAGGCGAAGACGATTACGAACGATGTGAAGCGGAAGATGGTCGCAAAGGCGTTCAGATCTCAGCTGGGAAGATCCATGTTCATCTCGTGTCGCTGACTCGTCAGCCGAGGAAACCTATGCCAAAGGCATAGCTTTGCCTTTGGGAGACCTGCTGCGTCTGCCAAAGGCAAGCGCAAAGCCCCCGGAGAACGACGGCTGAGTGCACACAGCCTTCCCGAGCTTCAGTCCTTTTAGACAAAAATGCAACGCCAGCGTCACTCAGCCGAAAGACTAGTGGACTGGGAAGACTTGTGTCATCCAGCCCGACCATCTCGATGCTCCAAGATCAAAAAGCCCTACTGCTGCCCTGATCATTTGAACCGCGAATCAAAGTTGCACTCGAGATACGAGGCACGACCGTGTATGCTAACGCTGAACATCCGAAAGGTGAAACATCGAAAGTGTTTCGGCTAGCAAAACATGGAGGGTGTTTTTGTTAGGAACACATCGAAGGTGTTTCCGCTAAACTCGATGATTAGACAGCTGTCGGAGTGTTGGGTCAACACATGGCAGCCTGGCATGAGGAATGTGCTACATAAGCAGCGGCTTGTGCTCAACAAGGCTTACCGCTACCTTGTGGACCAGGGATTCGGACCCCTGGAGTTATCCTCGCTAGAGCTAGATGATGCCCACGACATGGCACAGCAGCTGTTCCCCATGAGGATTGGCCGCGGGAAGCTATGTTTGACCGGATCCAGGAAAGGTTTATCGCACGGCTTGTTGGATATCTGGGCTAAGAGGCTTCGAGAACAGCTCGAAGCCCCGGTCTTGGCCTCGCTACAGGAAAGCCTGGACCCTGACCATGCCAAACCGATGATTCCATGAGTTCTGTGGATGACATGTTGATTGCTGCCTTGTTGCGGGATCTGGACTCGGCTGTGAGCACGGGTGGCAGCAGCAGCAGCAGCAACAGTGGCCACAACACCAGTAGCAGCAGCAGTCGTCAAAAAAATGTGTGCGGCTTGCTGCAATTGCAGCTGGCTGCCCTGAAGGAGGTTGAGTTTCCAGTGGCGCCGCATCTGTAGGAGAGTAGTCAAGTTACAGAGGACGCAAGAAGCCAATGTGATCTGGACGAAGACACATTGAGAGCGCAATTGGAGAGCCTGCGCTTGCACGCCAACGATCGCAACGTTGGAGGCAAAGGAACATGACCAGGACGAGATCACGAAGCGTGCAAAGCCCTATGTTGGGCAGCACTCGTGCGCGAGCTAAAGTTCCGAGCGTCGTCCACTCGGGATCAAACATACAAAGATGTGGTGGACACATGTGGGCATCGGGGCATGTGAGGGTCAAGGGCAGCGATGCCATCAGGGCTCGATCGATGCTAGCTATAGCTGCTACTGGTAGGGTATGTTTGCCCACGTGATTGCCGTTTCCAGGCTTCACCGATGTATGAAGAAGCAAAACCGAGCAGCATCAGGCATTCGCAGTCAGAGTACGGAAGTCCGTCAGAAAATGTATAAAAGCAGCAATAGGACTGGATTGAACTCGCGACGCAGCTGCGATTTCCAGAGTGATCAATCGAACAAACATGGTGGGGGCTGACGCGGATGGCGCCCAAAGCAAAGGGTTCTGCTAAAGCCGCGTCCCACCGGGCGGAAAGGCCTCTCTGCGGGCACAAGCTTGCGATGTCAATGTAGGTCCATGCGAACTGCCGCCAGGTCGGTGAGCCCCAATCCGACCAAGGGATCGCCCAAAGCCAAGGGACGTGCTTCCTCCGAAGCGCCTGGCAGGCGCCCCGAGAGAAGGAGAGAAGCAGCGGTAAACAGCAGCGGGTGTTGTCGATTCGAAGGCCAGGCGATGCCGAAGAACCCGGTCCCAAGATCCTGGAGGCCTCAGGGTTGCCCACCTAACCTACGGCATTGCCTGTGTGCACCTACCGCACGTCATTCTCATTCTTCGTAAGCGGCATTGCTTTCCCTAAGGCCGAGCTTGTGCCTGCCTGGCGGAACAAGACGGTCCAAGGCTACTTGAGACCTTGAGTTCTGAATCCTTGGCCGCTCTCAGATTGTTTCCGGTTCTCCCGGAGGCCTCTTCTGCGATCCGTACATCGAGAACACGAACTTGGAAGGCGGCCGCTCTTCACAGGCTCGGCTCTCGGCTAACGATGCCTTTTTTGCAAGCCAAAGACCGGGCTTTCGGGTCTTTGTCGCGTGGTGATGGTTCCCTGAGGCTCTGAGCCGGAAGCTCAGGCTGCGAAGCGGAAGACCTCGCGCAAGACTTGACCCGAGTTGCTCTATACTCACTGTCTGAGGTGATGTTATTGAGATCGGGACAGAGCTGTTGCGATCGGCGCCCATTTCCATGAGCAGCACTGAGATCCAGGCTCTCCGTCGGAGGCTCAGCACGGCACCAAGGGCAGCCAGGAAAAACGTCCCATGTCCGCTGACGTCAGGTGCGGCTCTCAAGCAGTTGGGAGCCGCTGCCGATCGCAGCAACGCCGGCCACGATGCCTTCGAAGCCCAGGCCGGACTCAGTGCAGCCAGCAAGAAAGCGGGACAGACAGTGACAAGTGTGACTGCCGACGTTTGCGTGCTCTCCTCTTTGCCAAAGCATGGCAAGCTTTTTGTTCTTTTCTCACCATTGAGCACGTGGTGAGGGCGGAATGCGCTGGTGCCAAGAGATGCAGTGGCCAGACTGCAGTCGTCAGTCTTGAGATTGAGGGGTTCGGGCATTCCTCAGTCTTGCTCCGGACTTAGGCGCTTCAATCCAGTCCATGGCTTGTGTGTTTGTTTCCGATCACAACCATGATAGATCTCGAAGCAGCTTGGGCATCTCCTTTCCCGCGAGTCGCATTGCGACAGGAAGGAGATCCACGCACTGCGCGTCGATGAGACCTGGCTCGTGGAAGGGGGTTGGCGTGGAGAACACGGCAGCCATGCCATCATGCGCCTTGGAACTCGTCAGGTGATTCACACCCCTTCAGCTCACTGATGACAGGAGCGAAGCTCAAGAAGCTCAGGCCCACCCAAAGCCCAAAGCTAATGGGCATCCATCCTGCCATGAAGAGCCCTCCAACCGTTGTGCTCATGTTTTCACTCTACCTGTGTCTTCGCATTCGACCTTGTAGACCTGAGTTGCACTGCATTTGGTGCATGAAGAACGGGTGATCAGGTACATGATCCAAAGAATGTCGGACAGTGATTCAGCAGCATTGGCAGCTGCAAATCAACGGTTACACAGCTACTAGGGCATCTGGTGCCTGAGGTGAATTTTCCTTCTCTGTGCTCAATACCGGTGCGGGGATCCACCAATTTCATGTCTGCGACCCCTCCATGATGGGGATAGGAAAGGCTCGTTACAGAACGAGGCCAGGGATGTTGCAGGAGTGCATGCTTGTGCATTGGCAGGGTCGTCCGCAAAGCTGGCTTTCGTGCTTGTGTCGTGGGGCTTCACTGCTTGCCGATGGGCCTTTGAAGATGTAGGTGAAGACTAAGACGCTAGCTGCTCAGCTGCGTCGAAGACTATGGGTAATATGTCGGCACTGGCACGGCCAGGCTTTGTCTCACTCCGATCAAGAAGGAGCATTGCAGCATTCCGGCTGGGGCACAAAGCCTCGAAGCCTCGAAGCCCAGTGACCTCAGTGACCTCACTTTGTACTCGTCCACGGCTAGTCACAGCCCGGCGAGGAGCGCCTGGATCTGCCGTTCCTTTACGCCTTGCCGCTCGTCCTTAGCAGTGCCCCCGAAGTGCGACCTCCGAATTGTCCGGTTGCTGTAGGTTCAGGACCTACTTCGTGCGCCACCGCTGTCACAGCTGTGCCCAGCTCTACGAAGTGCTCCTTCCACTGCTGGAAGCCGAAGCTTGGAAGCGAAGCTGGAGCTTAGACATGCTCATTCTGGAGCGGCTCTTTGCTCCCTTTCCGTGACGAGTCTCAGGACGAGAGCGCGGATGCATGGCCAAGCACCCCACAGCGTGCGGGCACCTGTTCCTCGGACGCAAGGCTGAATGTTGTCAACTCCGTAAGCGGCTTGTGTCTTGATGACACAAGCAAGCCCAGGCTATGCGAAGTGCATCTTCCTGACGCTGCGCGTTCTGCTGGGGCATTTTGGTCTCGGCAGGGATGCTCTGAAGAAGTGGATGCTGAACTTCCGCATCGGCTACCTGGAGAAGATGGTTTCGGACTTGCAGCAGTCCTGCCACAAGCTTACCATCAGCGATCGGATCATTCTGACCCGGCCCCAGTGTTCTTCCGGAGAGATCATTTTGCCCTTCGTCTCTTTGTTTACAAAAATGTCATGTGACTTCACGTCAATGCAAGGACCGTGGCCTTGAAGCAAGTCGCTCGCCGCTGCGCGCGCGAGGCCTACGCCATGGTGGCCAGGGGCCGAGTCCACGTGTGCTTGCAGAAGATCTGGTTGGCGGCGCCGCCCATGCCCTGGCTTGGCTACTTCACTGCCAAGATGGAAGCAAAGGAGCCAGCCCTGCAGCTCCCCAAGTCCAGCTCTGGCTCTGGATTTCAAGGTTTCCAGCTCCTGGTGGCAAGTGCTTTGATCCCTCCGGAAGTGCGGAACGCCTTTGCCGGGCCTTCTGCTACGAAGTCCACGAACCCGCACGTGGACCTCACGGGCATCGCGTCGGCGAGTGCCTCCGGCCCAAGTCTCGATGCCGTGCTCCAGGCGGCCTTGATGTGCGCTCCTTGCAAGCAGTCTTCCACAACAGAGAGTCCCACATCTATCTGCAAATCCAATTATGAAATACAAAAACAGATGTATTTGTATATATATATATATAGAAATATACGCACACCCCTTCATGCCTCACCATTCCTCAGTGATGGTGCTCTGAAGGATCGGCTGGAGGAGGTCCTTGGTTGCTCTCTCCGCTCGAAGCAGCTGATTTTGGGCGTCGTGGAGTCCCTGGTCTTCTGGGAGGGGCAGAGCCTCTGGCAGAAGGATCTCGGCGAGCTGAAGCTTGCACAGGGCCGAGAGGCAGGGGAGAAGCTGGCAGAGCTCTTCTTCTTCCTCTTCCTCCCTCTTCGACTCTTCCTTTTCCTGGGAATCGACGTCTCTCTTTCCCTGCCTCTCTCTCTCTCTCTCTCTCTGTCTTGCACAGGTACTGGCCGCCATCCATCGTCTCGGAGCCCACTACTTGGCGGGCGCTCGCTCGGGCTTCTTGGGCCGCTGCGGGAGCTCCACGGGTTTGTTGGTCCTCGCGAGCCTCTTGGAGCTCTTCGAGCGGGTTTTGATGGCCACCGACACCAAACTGGCGAAGGCTGCGAAGGACTCGGCGCTTTGGACCTTGCGGCCCTGGCAGAAGGATGGCCACCCGCCAACTTTTGCGGATCTGACGGCCTGGATGCCCATGACCAGCCCTGCCATGCTGGAGGTTCGGAATCGGCTTTGCCGGCACCAGAGCGCCGCGGCCAGGTCGGCCGGCCCGGGCGAGAGCTTGCTCCGCATGGAGGATCCCTCGGTGATTTTGTTCGGGCCCCCGGAGCACCAGGGCAGCGAGCTCTCCTCGGCGGAGGCGGTCGGCTGCGGCAAGGCCGGGCCCCCGTTCTTCGAGTCACACGCAGCATGCAAGTACGTACAGTAGAATGTGTAAACGCATCTTTCCGACCCAGGCTTTTGGTGAGCTGGTGAGCAAGCTCGTGTCTGCTTTGGGCTTGAAGGGCATGCCCACACTGCCAGCGGTGGAGCGGCCTTACCAGGACTGGGAGGTCCAAGTGGCCTGGGCCTTCGACCCGAACTTGGAGGCCGCCTGCCCGGAATGGGCTCAGGCCCGGGACTTGACGATCTTCTTCCAGATGCTCTTGTCCAGCGTCCCGGCCCTGTCCCAGTCACTCGAGGGACAGGGCGTCTCACCGGCCGGGGATGCGGCGCTCTCTGCGAGCAGCGTGGCAGAGTGTGGCTTCAGCCTCAGCCTCTTCAACCCGCCCAGCAAGCTCACGGTGAAGGTGCTCCACATCTGCACAATTGCCTCGCGACATGCCAACTTCCTCTACACGCAGCCATCCCTGGCCCACCCGAAGGTGCTTTGCCCCTCCCTGCCTTACCTTCGCTTCGGCGGCTCCCTGGAAAACGAGATCGCTTCAACACCACATCTCCCGGACTTCGACTTCTCCCTGACGCAAGCACAAGCAGAGACCTTACTGATGATCCTGAACTGCCCTGGGCCCCTTGGCAAACACACTCCAAGCCCACGGCTCGCGCGCGCACGCTCCCCGCGCGAATGAGTTGTCTTCCAGGCTCCGCATCCCGATGCTTCTCCAGTTCGTGGTCCCGAATCATGTGGCCCTCCTCCACCACCGGCAGTTTCAGAGGATCTTCTTCGCCTGCCTCTTCGAGCCCGGGCTTTTTCCCAAGGAGCCTCGGGAAGAGGCAACGGCTCTGCCTCCGAAGGTCCAAAGCCTGCGAGAGGCCGGGCCGGTCGCCGGTTCGCTTGAGGCTTTACAGGGCTTAGAATGAGGAATGATGGGTCGCTCTCTAGGAAGCGTCGGCCGTTGCAGAGAGAGAAGACAGGATGCCGAAGAGCTGCGCTGTCTCTTCTGACTCGCAGGCCAAGGTTCCTTGTTTGGAGCCCATGGCGGTCGAGTTCGGCTGGCTGAGCACGGAGATGGCCACTTGACACCTAGTATGCAGGGGCCTAGAGTTTAAAGCTGCCATCGGCTTTGGTCGCTCCGATGCCGTGAGGCCACGAAGCCTCAGCTGCTACTTCCCTTCCTGCACCAACTCTTCGATGCAGTGAAGGACTTGGGACACTTGCCCAAGCCAGAGCTGCCCGAAGTTCGTTGCAGATGACAAAAACGCAAAGCGACCACTCTGAGTCCTTCGCCTTCGCGGTGTGTCTCTGTGCTAAGCCCGCTGCGAAAAACCAAGGAAGCGGGAACTCGGATGGCCCTTTGGTGCAGCCCTTCCTCTTCGTTCTGCGGGTGGCGGTGCTGGTCCAGGACCTCTGCACCCTGAGTGACTGAAGGCTTGGTTTTTGTGAACGCAAAGTCTCCAGAACCGAATTAAATTGGCTTGTGCGACGTGTTCGTGCATATAGTTGCATACAGCTAAATGTAGATCGATGACGAGGAAGTCCAACGAACGATATGGCACGCATGCACATGAGTTTGTCCCTTGATGCTCATCCTAAAATTCTGAGCCACCTGACAATTTCCGAGACATGTCGACCTTCTTAGGACTTCGTGGAGGTTGCGCGGCGGTCTGCCACGGGGGAGGCCTTGGCATGTCTCGAGGACCCGCACGAGACGTCCCGACACGAGAGTTCTTCAAACTTGTGTTCGAGTTCAGGATGTTTCTCACGCTCTTCTTGTTCCTGGTACTTATCGTCATGATATGATGCAGATTCGTCTACACGCAGTTATACAGTAACTTATACATATATGTATACGCGTGTACACAGTTCGATGTACACTTCCGGTGAAGAGTCCGTCGTGTCTTTCAGGAACACAGCAAGATCTTCCGCCGCTTCATCCAGAAGTTGGCCAGGAAGATCTTGGCGCGATGGATCCGCCAGGCCAACGTCTCCAAGAGCCTCGTCGAGTCCAGCTGTGAAATGCTGTGAAGCCTTAGGTTTCGTGTATGCGTGTGTATCTGTGTATGTATGTGTGGGTATATATACATATATGATTCATACATATACACATATATATATATACACACATACACACATACATACAACATACCACATACATGCATGTGTGCGTGGATACATACATACACATATGTACATATAGACATCTACGCATAGAGAGTTGGGGTATGAAAGCTTCAGAGTCTGCATTTCAGATCGTCAGCCGTGAACCCGAGGAACTACAGTGTCTTGATGCAGTGCCACGCACACCTCGCAATGACCTTTGGCAGCATATTTCCCTGCGCAGTGGAGTGCTCTCTCTTTGTGTCGGAGGCTTAGCTTAGATTGATTGGTGTTTGTATTTTGTGCGCGACGAGGACGGCCTGGTCTGCGTCGGAACTGGAGCCAGATGACGTGCAGAGCCTGGCCGTGGCAAGCTGCACCTTCAGCCTCTGGAGTGAACAGATCGATGCCGTCGCGGCGGCTTCCGGGGACGAAGCCGACACGGTGCAGGCGGTCTTCAGTACCCTTGCTAGGCCAGGCTGAGCTGAAATTTCTCGAAATCGCCCGCTGAAAAAAAGCATCGAGATGGCAGGCAAAGGGTGTCGCTTCTGAGAGCTGTGGAAGAAATCGATGCCCAAGAGCGCGACAAGTGTTTCAGCTTCATCCTGGGCGGAGCCATGGGAGCCTGAGCGATTTATCGTGATGGCTACCAAACTTAACACAGTGGAGTCTTGCTAACTTCTCATTTGCATGGTAGTTGAGGAGTGGCCACGATGCCAGCCTTGACGTGGAGATCAGCTGAGCACATTCCGACGGTGTGCAAGCGCGTGGTGGAGACCAATCACCCCATCAACAAGGATGTCTTCGAGCGAGCCCGCAAAGAACCCAAGTCCACCGCCGTAAATGCCTCACCCAAACCCCCTGCAAGGATGATCTTGGAAAGAACGCAGTAAGAGTGGTCCGGCTGCCCAACGCTTCCCGGATCATCGTCCGATTCGACCCTTTGAGCCAGCTGGACACCGGGGACTTCCTCAAAATTTACACCAAGGGCATCAAGGGCACCAAGGACTGCCAAGACGATCGCTGTCTTGTTTTGGGCAGTCAGTTGACTCCTCTACTGTGCTTCCTGCTGCTAGTCCGAGGCCCCCCCCCAAGACCTGAAACTCAGGAAAGGACGTGATTGACACCTCAGCCCTGAACTGGGTATTACTGCACCTTAGCAAAAGCTCTCGGCTCGGCCCCGAGCCTTAAAGGCACTTCTCTATAACCCTAAGCCCTCTACTGTCGCCACCGTAAACACCTTACCTCCTGGGTTCAGTCAGACCTTGCAAGGGCAAAGAGCCGCGAGAGATCCTTTGGTCGGGCAGCCGCAGCGAGATCGCTCGCCGTGGATGGCCCGGCGTTGACGCCCCAGGCGGGTTTCTGGAGGGCCACGGCCAGGAAGAGATCCAGTAGGGAATGAGATAATGTATACGTCAAGTGTATGTAGGGATGTCTACGTGTTCACAGTAAGCTCCGGCTGTATTTTCAAGCGACTTCCTTCGTGTGCAGCTCTTGAGCATTTGGGTCTTCTTGGTTGGCCCTTCTAGGCCTTGTCATCGAAGGGGAGGCATTTACCATCGAGATGAGCCGCATCATGAAGGTCGGCGATGGCGAAGAAGTCGCCTACGGCTACCGGTTGATTGCGGAGGCGGAGCTTGCACCCAGCGCGGTGAACAAGATGCACATTGCCTGCCAAGCCTCGAAGTACGCCTCGAGGTGGCACTTGGGATATCGTGCTTGAAACTTCCTCTTGACTTTATGGCGGTATAACGACGAAGCCTACCATGGATGAGTTTTGAAGACCCCAGCGCTACATAGAGCATATAGAACCCCCGAATAGACTGCGGGAGACCTTCATAAATCCGAGGTCTGTGCCTCCATTCTCTCTGACTGTGGCGGGGACGTGCAAGAGGCCCTCCGGTTGCTGCCGGAGGCCGGAGTCGGCTCTTTTTCTTGTCTCACCCAGCCAAGGAAGTCGATCTATATATCTAGATCTATATATACATATGCAAATACATGATATGTATATTTATTTATTGTTATATGTGAAGAGCTCTTCCCATCCATGCTCGGCTTGGCATTGATGGTGTTGCCAGAGGTCCGTGGGAAGTGGGAGGAGCTGGAGAGCCTCTTGGAGAAACGCCAACAGAGCCTCGGGCTGCGTAGCGGCGGCTGCTTCGTGGCAACGCAAGCTACGGCACTGGAGGACTCCGATAAAGTCGAAGACAGAACCTGACGGAGATGTCGGGATGTCGCTGCTGTCTTGTTCAATCTGTCGCTTACGCTGTTTTGCTGGCTTGCCCCTGTGGTTTTGAAAGTTCGAAAGAGCTTACGAGTCAACAGCAATTCCGACGGGGATTCTTGGGAAGGTTTCCCTTGCTTTACACAGAACGATGGCCTTGAAGGAGTGTCATGAGCTTGACCAGCAGGGCAGTGCTACATAGCTGTTCCTCACGCATTGACATTACGCTATGTATGTCGAGTAATCAGTTCTCTGTTTTGGTGAGGGAACCTCCGAGATGCCCCCATGAGCACCCAGAAGGTTAATACAGTTACTGCAAGGCCACCAAATAAAGGGTACCAGTGAGGTTACTACAGTGGTATATACATACATATATATATATATATGGGTAATTGTCAAAATTATGGTCCCTTTTGGGGTACCCTAAATAATAGTTTTGACAACCACCCATATATATATATATATATAGCTTCGAGGACTCTTGGCTTCTCGGTGCGCGCCTGGACCTCGGAGCGGCAGCGCTGAGCTTCGCTGCGAGGGAGACTTTGCGGCCGATGCCCAACGAGTGCTTCTCGGACCAGGACAGGCTTTTGGGAAGTCTAAGGTACAGTATACCTGTTTAGGGTTTAGGGGTGGCTTTTATTGGAAGTTTAGGGGTACAAATGGTGTAAACACCCAGCTGTATAAGTATAGAGGGACTGGACTACCAGGGACATTGCTACTTGTATTGCCTGTGGTTCCATACCAGGACTATCAGGAGGCACTGGGCCACGAGCGCCCCAACGTCCTTCCAGCTACCTGGCGTGTTGTTTGCACGATGTTCTTCAAAGGGCTTTTGTGGACGGTATCCGGTTGCCTCGGCGTGTTTTGGTGACTCTTTGCCGTGCTGAAGGTCTCCACGTCCTTGTACCGGAACACCTTGAGCTTTCGGTGCGGGCATGAGTACACAGCGGAGATTTGGGTGCCTCGGTGTTCTTCAGAAGAGTAACGAGCCAGGCGCACAGACTTGGTTTCCCTTTTGTCTCGAGGCTTCTCCGGACTTCAAATTGGCCTTGGACCGGAGAGGTTTGAAAATCGAGGCCGGTTCGGGTGGCCATGAGGTACCTTTCGCCTTCCACCCCGTGGACGGCGGAAAGGGTAACTTAAGCTGGCGCGAGGAGACGTGGATTGCGGTGGCCATGACCGAGTTGGTGAGCCACTTGCGGAAGCACCGGCGCCGCCACGAAGTCTTCGAGGCGTTGTTGAGCACACCAGAAAAGGATCCGTCACTTCGGAACCAACCAGAACCCTGGCACCGTACCGTTGCCGGGAGCTGGTTTGCGGACGCCAAGTGGTACGGAGTCTCATCCTCGGAGATGTCTGGCGACGTCCTTGCCCTGGTGACCAGCGAGAAGAGCGCCTTCTTCCTGGAGTTTGAGCTGCTCCCATGTGGTGTCCTAGTTGCCTATCGGCTTCATGAGTACGACCGCGGCACCTTCCGCGAGGCCGTCTGGACCTCCGACAGGAGGCGTTCGCTCTTTGGGGCAGACCCCGAGAACTCCTTCGAGCTCTTTGCGGTGCCCAAAGCCCTGGAGGACTCCCGCCTTTCTGGATCTGACCTGAGTGCCCCAAGATGATTAATTGGATTTTGGTTAACCCCTGGACATGAGAGCCGCGAAAGTTCGTCGGAATCAGACAATCTGATAAATTGAAGGACCGCGCGGGTGAACTGAGCCCTTTGATGGCGTACGCCCCCTCCGTGGTCCTCCACAGCGCCAAAGGACGCTACCTGCCGCAGAGATTCCTTCGAGGCGCATCCCAAGTCCAGCTCTCGAGACGCAAAGTCGTATGTCTATAGGACACACAGGGAAATCCACGGTAGTCTGTTTGAATCATGTTTTTGGTCATGGGGTCTTCAGAGACATTGCAGTAGGTTCTAGTATCTTCCACTTATTCTCATAGCATAGTATAGTATCGTATAACATAGGACATAGGAGAATATGGTACAGTATAGGTATAGCATTCAAGACTAAAGTAAAGTATAGTATAGTATAGTATTGTATTGTATAGTATAGTATAGTATAGTACAGTATAGTATATAGTTAGTTCAGTATAACATAACGCAGATAGTTGTATAGTGCAGTGTAGTGTAGTACAGTACAGTATAGGAGAGTACAGTACAGGAGAGTACAGTACAGCACAGTACAGTGCAGTGCAGCAAAGTCTAGTACTATGCAGCATAGTGTAGTATAGTATTTTATCGTATATTGTAACTTGGTACAGAAAAGCTGAGTCTCGTTTACCTGATGTTGGTTTGATCAAGCTTTCAATGGGTTGTTGTGGTTTAGTGTATTATAGTGTCTCATAGATGACTGCGTCGTAATCGTATATTGTCATACTATGTGCAACATCGTACTTGCGTTGATCTTATGCTGTATGTTTAGAGTTTCGGGTTTAGGCAGGCATGTCATGTATCCTACGTCGAGAAAACGCTTCGTGACCTTTCTTTGGGAGCCGCAGAGCGCCAGGACTGTTGCCCGAAGTGCTGCTGCCACATTATGCATTCTGGCAGATCTCCGAGCAGTGCATCGAAGCACGGCCCAAGGACTCCCAAAGCCGCTGGTTCAGCACGCCTCTGAAGATCCAGATGCTGCCGGGCTTGGCCAGAGTCACAAAGGAGTTAGCAGAGGATCAGGAGGGCCCCGAGTTGCTGGATGCAACTCGTGCCTCCCCGAGCTCGGAGCTCTCAGTCTTTGCAGAGCGGCTTTCGCGGGTGGAGCCTTTGTCTCACATTCTGCTGTGGACGAGCTCCAAAGATATCGGTGCTGCGTTGGACCTGGTAGAGATGCCACGCTTGCAGCTGCGCTTTCGCTTGAGGGAAGGACCTGTGATCCGCGACTTGGGCGATGGCGATGGCCCCAAGATCGCTTTTGAGCCAAAGCTCTTCTGCGATGCTTATGGTGGACAGCTCTACCTCGAAGCCACTCAGCATCAGGCGATTCGACAGCTCCTTCCAAACTGCCCTCACGTGCTGCCGCCTCATTGCCTCCTCCTAAGATCCGAGTCTGGCGAGGCGAAGGCGTGAAGAGCTTCCAAGGGCCATGTCTCTCTGTCGACTGCTTCTTCTGCACCTACGCATCCATAATGAGAAAATACTGACGCATTTCTTTTTTATCTACTGAGCGGTACTTCTCTACATGACATGGAGCGCGCGCTCTCCTTTCGAGAGCCGGCCATGAGCTTCCACTGGACTAAGCGGGTCCGATACTTATAGGGGATGGGGGCTTGCAATGCTTGCATCGGTGTCCTAGAACACATCTTGTCCCATGCAGACCCGTGCGCACTATTTCACTCACCACGTTGAGCCCTGCATTCTCACGCTGGCTGCAATCTAGCCGAGCCGCTCAAGTGTTGCTGTGTCCTGTCGGATGTCTCTGGCAGGTGGTGGCCCCTCTTGGCGCGTTGAAGCGGCGCCAGAGCTATCCAGAGCCGTTTTCCACCAAAGACCCATGGCTTGATTTGGCAATCTCTAAAGCTGAGAGATTGCACGACTTTCTCTGAACCCGGCCGCATGCAGTGAGATGTGACATGGTTTCAGTACAAAGGTCAGTCTACAAATCTTCGGCGAGGAGTTTCTGTGCCCCACTGCAGCCTACGACCTCCCTCTGGCGACGGGCACGGATCTGAAGTGTCCGAGCCTCTCAGCCTGCAGAAGTCTGCTGAGTTCGGTAGTTTTTTCAGAGCTTGGCAGAGAGGTCTCCTGTCCGCTTTGTGGCTGCTACTGAGCCGCTTGCTGCAGCTGGACTACGAGGGTGCCGTAAAGCTGCTGCCGTTCGTGTCTGTGGCTTCGGCCGAAGGCCACCTGCGACACGACGAGGCCCTGGTATTCCGGATGGCCTTGAGGGATACCTCGGACCGAAACCCGGATGCTGTGGCCATTCGCTTACGCCTGGTGCATGCCACCGTGGCCTGTCGGCAGCCCGACGAGGACTTGGCCAGGTGTGCCTTCGCCGACGCGGCGAGCTACATCTCCCACCTGACACACGTGAGCCAGAGCTGCTGCATGTCCCTGGACGAAGAGCTGGAGCTCTGGAGCTTCTTACGAACGTGTTCAGACAGTGCTCTTATGTTCTTGCTTCAGGTAGGCATCGCCAAACCGTGGTCTGTCGGAAGGCAGACAACAGCTGAGGAACAGCTTGAGCTCCATGAAGAGCGAAATGGAGGCCACCAATCGCTTCATCGCATGGCGCCGAAGCGTGCTGCTGGCATGGAAGCAAGGCTCCTCCGAGGTGGACGTGCAATGGGCGCGGCGTTGCCCCGGTGCGTGGCTTTCCACTGTTCTTGATGACGAAGAGCAGGCGGCCTATCTCCAGAATCTGCCGGTGACAGAAATCGACTGCATCGGCCGCCCGACGATGTAGAAGAAGGTGATACGTAGTGTTGGAAGCTTACGTGCTCGCAACCTGCTTACATAATCTGGCCTAATTTAACCGCTCAGTGCAGGCCTGCACTCGACAACGATCACCCGACGACGAGAACAACCAAAGCAAGCACCGCTTCCCCTACCCGGTCCTACCCGTACCTGCTCCTGCCAAACTGACAACAACGGCAGCAGCAGCAACAACAACAACAAAGCCGAATTGCAAGCCTTCAAGAACATCTGACCCCACGGACCCTTGCCCGCCCTTGCACACACCCACGCCCTCCACAGCATCCAAGCCGCTCCAGAAGACACCGCACCTTCCGCCCCCGCCCTTCCAATGCCCATGCTCCTACCCTACAACCACAACTACAAGAACAACTGCAGCAACAACAACAACGACGACGACTACAACAACACCCACAAAGACACCACCATCACCACCAACACCAACAGCAGCAGTAACACCAACAGCCCCCTCTGTACGCAGCCTGTGCTTGGATACACTCCTGTATCCCCTTTACACCACCTCCTTCCTACATGCAGCCCCCCTGTACACCCCTTGTACACACCTCCGATACTCACCGCGCACACCCGGTAACCTCCTGTTCCCCGGTTCATGTTTTGGGTTGGGGGGAATTGGAAACCCAGAAATTTAGCCGATTCTGGCGGATCGGTACTCGTAGAGAGAAAATGTTAAAAACGCGCTTGTGTCCAATTCGCCCACCACTAACTGTCAGGACTAAAAGCCCAAACAGCGAAGCCTCGGCGGATTGAAGTCTACCTGCCTGAGGCATCAAGGGTCAACCTCTCCTGGAGTGCTCGAAGTTTCGAAGCCCCGATTGGCCAGAGCTGTTGGAAATGCTGGAAGGCGTTGCCCTCAAAGACGGGCTGCGCCTTGGAAGCGACGAGTATCACGTCCAAGGCATATACGGGTATAGAACAAGTTAGTTGGGGCATATTGAGCTATGTGTGAGGAAAGGGTGGGTACGATCGATTGCCGATTGACAAGCAAAGTTCGGCGATGCTGCATTTTGCAGACTGCGCTTTTCGAATTCATTAGATGGTTCAACGAACTTTGCTGTGATTATCAAGGCCAGTGGTTCCGAGCGAAGTTCGGCGAGGCTTTGAAGGCCTCCGGACCTCTAAACTAAGGTTTGCCACGCTTCTGAGCTTATGGGAGATGGGCAAGTCCGTGGAGGTGCAGCGACTGGCCACGAGGAGAGCACTGCCAAACAGAAGAGATGTCGGACGTTCCAGGCATTGCTGGTGCCTCGCAACCTAAGACTCGCTAGCATTCCGTTGGCCCCAATCGGTTTGTGCGGCAATCCGCCCTCCGCGGCTTCCTCCAGGATGCTCCTCTTCAGCGTGGCGCGTCCGACGCCCAAGACTCCAAGAGCAGCTCCGAAGGGCCGAAAGGGCCGAAGGGCCGAAGGGCAGATCGGAGTCTCTTAGAGTTTTGGGACGCCCAGACCCCACTCAGGTGGTCAGAGCTTGGACAGACGGCTGCTGCTCACTCTCTGCATCTTGCAGATCAGCTTCCCCAAAGGGCCGACTCCCAGCATGAAGAGCCCGCGCCTGGCGGCCTTCCAAAATCTGCTGCCCCGTCAGAGCCTCTCGAGCTGCATCGTGATGGGCGACTGCAGTAGCTGTGCATGTCCATGACATGCGGCAACTACGGAGTGCATCATATCTGACCAAGGTAAAGAGCGGAAGGAGTGGGTGAACGCATTGCCACTCGGGCCTCACTCGGGCCTGACTGTTGTCTTGCGGTTATTGATGTTCAAGACAGACGTCGGCTTCTGTCTGGCACCAGATCAATAATCCAGGACACAGCCTGTTTTCTTCTTTTCGTCACCTGCTTTTCATCTGTCTGAGGTTTGACTGGGGATGTCAGCATTTACGCGAGAATCCGGGCCTCGTCGATGAGCTGCGGAGCTGGAAGGAGATAGCACCTCTGGATGGCAGTTTCCTCAGCAAAAGCACACAACCTTAAGGGTCCAAGCCACCAGATTCTCAGTTATCTGGGTGCAGGAGTGTCGTAACTGCTGCAGCTCTGCTTGCTGCAAGCTTCCCAAGGATGTGTTTCCGTTCCTCTCTCGGACCTTCAGCCGACGGCGGTCCCTCGCAGCGCCACGGACCTGCTTCAAGCTTCAAGTTTATCTAGAAGATGCCGCGTCCGTCTCGAAGTTTGTCCTGCAGTAGAGCCTCAAACCCGAGTGTACATCCTGAGCCCGCGCCCTACTTGAGCCACTCTGAAGGACTTTCGCTGTCACCGCCGGGTCCTGACTGAAACGACTGGCAAGTCCACCGCCTGGCCGGTCCTCTCGGACCGAGAGCTCCAAGAGATTCTTGCCTGTTTGAAGTTAGATGATGGTAACATCACAATATTATAGCACAGGGGTATATGCCTGGAAGAGGCAGGGCTTGAGGCCTCAGTCCGAGCAGGCAGTCGTTAAAGGTAGAGTCTATTGGATCGCATCGCAGGCTGATGGGGTTGATAAAATGGCTTAAATACAACTAGGTACACTCAGATGCAAGAGACCTTGATGCTGTTCGCTTGTGCTGTCCTGGGTGTCCTTTTGCATTGCCAGGTGCTTTCCGATGTTTGGGGGAAGGAGGCTCCTGGGTTGCTTTCCGACGCCTTGGGCTTGCGGGTTCGACTCATGCAACGCAGTCCCAGTTCCCTTGGCCGTTGCTATTATGGCCACGACGCACAGAGTTTCGGAAAGAGGAGCCGCAAGTCGACGTACAGCGCAGCATGAGCAGCAAATCAGTCGCAGAACAGGTGGGGACAGCAATGCCTGAATGTTCCCGTAGATCGACGTCCCTGGCAGCAACAGCTTCCTTCGCAGTAGAACTCAGTAGCCGTCGCCGTAGTTGTGGTAGTCCGGAGAAGTCAGACCAAACCAAGCCAAAGTGAAGCCTGATTACAGGGCACTCCAAAAGCCCCGTTGCTGTCCCCATGTGTGCATGTCACTGAGGATGGCAGCGCGCCTTGGCAGCAGAGAGTTCGTTGTCTCTCTGTCTTCCTCTGCGAAGTTTTTCTTTGCCAGGCTAGCACTTTGGTTCGTCTGTGGGCATGTCTCCGGCTGAGCTTGTCGCTTCCGAGGCGGACACCCGCCCTTGTGGTGGGATGCGAGTCGCTGCGGCCGACGTCTCTCGGCTCTCAAATCATGATCCGGCTGTCGCTTTTCTGATGTCCATGCTCGTACTCAGAACTTCAAAATTTAAGATTCAGGGTCTGGTTGGCTGCTTTTTGAGCACACATGTAAACCTGTGTGAGGGACTGGATCGAGACAGGGCCGACGAAGAGAAGGCCGTGTGGTAGGTAACACGGCTGCGCACGAGCGCACGCTACATGATACAGTAAGGTGCCAGGGCCTCCATGTACACTCAAGCGGGGGTAAACTAGGTGGTCCATGGTGTTAAGAGAAGGTTTTCATTTCATGTCAAAAGGAGGGTAGATGGAGGGTCTGGGTATGTAGAGTTTGCGCAAGGTTCCCCCAGAAGGCCCGACAGGCTTCAAGCATGGAGACCCATGCCTTAGATTTCTGTAGCATGCCCAGCAAAAAAAGTTCCAAAGCCAAAGCCCTCTGCCAGTTCTTCGTCAGAGAAGGAGATGTGTAGTTCTCTACATGAGGGTCCTTTTTATAAGGGTGCCGTAGTATCTTGGGGAGATGATGTAGAGAGCTACAGTACCCCTTAAAGTGCAGCATCCTGAGGTTGACAAAGGAGCCACTTCCCGGAAGCCAGGGACTGAGAGGATACGGCAAATCTGTCGTCAGGATGGGCCCATTTTGATGGGCTAGGATGCAAACAAAGCTAAGGCTAGGGATTATGAGAGAAGAGTCAGCAGAGCAGCCAACGAAGGAAGACCTTGCGCAAGCTTGCGCTCTAAAACAGCCTTCCAGCTGGTACCCGACGAAGTGCCACGTAACCTTGGAACTTTAGGAGAGCTCGAATTTATAGCGGATATTGCGGCAGACATTCGAGCCCCATCACCTTCACACTTCCCGAAACCACCTGCGTGCGCCGCAAGCCCCACAGCTTCTCGGAAGCCTTTGAGGCCCCTGGCGTTTGGGCCTCCTGCCTTCTTGGAAAGAGAGCCTTCAAAGGCTCGCGTGCAACTCGAACTGCATGCAAGTATTCATCGAGATGTGCTTGCACCGGACAGCGTTTGTTATATAGGTGTATACACATACACTGTCATTAAGTCTGTCTGTCAGTCTGGCCCTGTGAGTGTAGCAAACCGCGAGCAAGGATTTCAAGCAGTTGAGAAAAGGAGACAAGCCACTCGACAAGGATCCAAGCAGGCCGCTCGAAAGGAACGGGAAAACTATTACCTACTATTACCACCTACACCTACTCCTACTCCTACTACTACTACTACTACTACTACTACTACTACTACCTAGCTAAATGCTACTCGTACTACTGCTACTAGTACTAGTACTGTGGCAAACCGCTCCAAAAGGAACCTGAACCTGAAACTTGAAACGATGATCCTTAGAGGCCCAGGTCAAGGCTTCCTGGGTGTTCTGCAAGTGAGATGGAAGTTTCTCAAGTCCCGGACACCGCAAGCAACTTTTTCCTTGGCTTTGTTCGGAAGCGCATATTGGCGAAGAAGATCTTAAGATCTTCGAGGCGTTTGTGGTGGTCCTTTAAGGCTGACAATCAGGGATACTACAAGGGTTATAATACATATTATATATATATATATATATATGTATATGCTGAACAGTTTGGGGCTGTTGCGATTTGGTGTGGTGTCTGCTCCCCACGCTTCGATGGTGCAGGTGCCCAGCGACCTCCCCGGTCAGCGAGGCGACGCTGCAACGCTGGAAAGACTCCGCGCAGGCCTTTGAGGCCCAGCAGGAGCCGGGCTCAGGGGTTTGGTTTCGAAGAATTGGGGTGTCGAAACCAGCAGTTTGAAGTTGTCGCGGGCTGGAAGTGGCTCCAGGCCGCTTCGGTCAAGCCTTGCCTTGCCCGCAAGGAGCCTTCGGCGTTCCAGTTCAAGACCCGCCACGGTGGGCTCACGAGTCTCTGCGGGTCCAGCATGGACATCAGCCTCCTGAAGGACGATGCAAAGACTTTCCAGCAAGCAACTAGCAGTGTGACTGTGTTAGGTTTCGTGTGGAGAGCCTAGGCCTGAGCCCTCGGCTCACAGCCCCTCAACTGCAATCTCTAGAACGCAGGATCTGCTGCAGGACGTGGAGACCTTCTTACAAACCCTGCAGGCTTGGATTGGCTTTCCAATTTCAAGTTCCTACGAGTACCCGAAGCCGAAGAGAGCACCCCGCCAGGTGCACAAGGACCAGGACGTGAGGCAGGGAAGCTGTAGTGAAGCCTAGAATGAACCCTACATGTATAGACCCGACAGTAAACCCTGTCAGCAAGCCTTGGACCCTGAACCTGCCGATATGACTCAAGGCGTTAGCAGGATCGTGTGGATCCATGTGTCCGGTCACAGCCGCCCAAACCCACTAGTTAGCCCTAAACCCCATACAAGCCATAGTAAACCCCGAGCCCTAATCTCCTGAAGAAAAGCATTCAAGAAAGCCCTCCTAGAGCTGCGCCTTCCAGGCGTGCCCAGCAGGGCGTCGAAGCCATGCTGACCTGGTCACGTCGACCTCTGAAGGACCAGAGGGTTTCTGTTCGGGTTCCTTTAGTAAGACTAGAAGACTACAAAGGTTTTTTCTCAAGGGTAATTACTAGGTTAGTATCAGGGTTCACGGTTTCGGGTTATTCTAGGTCCGTTCAGGCTTTCTTTGAGGGCACTAAGCTTGCTGCTATAAGGATTCATAACGATTTCTAACAGGAGGACCCATTTTGAGCTTTAGGTGTGTGTGTGTGTGTGCCCTTGAACATCTGCAGACTTGTTTGTCTATTTGCGGCTCTATCTGTCCATCCAACATTGCCGCTGCAATCCCTACAGGTCCATTCATGCGTGCATCTATGCCTCCACAAGCATCTATCCATTTTGGCTTGCGCTCCGGTTTCCTTTGCGACGTGAGTGGTGGGCTTCTGCGTCCTGGGCTTGTGCCCTGTGGTGGGGCATACGAGGGCTCCTGCGTTCCGGGTTCTGTCTTGCTTGGTCTCATGCAGGCGGACTCCTGTGTCCTGGGTTCTGGTCCGTACAGCTGTTCGGCTTCCTGTGGCTATGTCTATTACGGTCGGACTTCTGTGTCCCGGGTTCTGGTTTGCTGTTGTTTGGCTATGTCCAAAGCGGTCGGACTCCTGAGTCCTGGTTCTGGCTGGCTATCGTTTGCTATTGCCTTCCTGGATCCCTGGAGGAGACCGAGCACCGGGAGCTCTGGGACCTGGAAGTGGTCAGCGGAGCCTCGGCTTTGCACCGCACACCCGCAACAGTTTCGCTCGGCTTTTTTTGGGGATTGAGGTTTAAGGCTTTCGGGCTTATCCGGCTTGGGGTTCAGGGTTTATAGATGTTTACAGTATTACAGGTTCACGTCGCTTGTCTGGTGATTTTTCGGGCTCTTTGCTCTGATGATGCGTGACGGCTCGAGGCTTCCATCCTCCGATGCTCAGCTTCGAGTGGATGGTTGCCTCCGTCCTCGCACCAGAGGCCCATCGAGATCTTTCAAGAACCCAAACTCCCCTGACTTCTCCCTAAAAGTTCCTAAAGCCCTCAGCTCTCTACATCCTCCGGCCGCAACGGCTGCCTCAACCCCTTCCCCCCCACAGAATAGGAACGAGAACACGAGCATACAATAATGATCTGTTTATACATACACTGACATATAGAGTAAGATAGAGACAGATAGAATAGAAATATGAGCACACCTGTTGTGCAAAAAGACACGACAGCAACCCTGGCCACCGCAACAAAAAGCGACAGCAAAAGGCAACCCCCGACAATTATACCCGAAACCCTAAACCCTGACCCGCGCACCAGGCTGGGGACGTCGTCGCGGCCTTTTTGCCTTCTTCCCTGGATCCCAAGACTTCGTTAGAGATGGTCCAGCCCCAGTGCCGCTTGGTGGCAATTTTATTGTGTCTTATGTGTGTATGCATTTATATATATATATATATATATATATATGTATGTATGTATATATATATATATAGATATATTAGGGTCGTCACCCTTCGAGTTCCCATCGTGCAAGTCGTAGCGTGACAGTTTCCACAGAAGCCCCACGAGTGAGGTCTGGTCGACGCATGCTTGCCGCTCGCATGCACCAGCGGAGTTTCGGGATGGGCCCGTGCTGAATCCTCGCTTTGCATCCGGGCTGATCGACTGCCACGGAGCCTCAAACTGGACCCGAAATCCCTAAATCTCAGAGCGGTCCCAGAGGGCAGCATCCTTTGGAGGACGGTGCTGCTCCTGGCCACTCGTGCTGCTTGCGCTCGCCGGGCTTTGGTCCATGCCTTTGCCCTTGCATCCAGGCTGAGGCCCGGTAAAGTTAGAGTTGGAGTCATCCCACTTTTTTGCCGCCGCTCATCCGCAAATGTGGTACAAGTACGTCGGGACTTGTCTTCACAACCACGCGGGGAGCACCCTTAGATCCGAGAATTCTCATCCTTCTTGGAGACCCAGCTTTTCTGAGCAGAGTCGACCTTTCGATTCTTCGTGTCTGCCAGCTTCGAGCCCGCCTTGGTTCTGTCGAGATCTGAAGCAAGCACAGAAGGCCCCTCACATCCTGCCCGCCCCATAACTTCTGTAGAACACCAAACCTCAACTCCTACACCCCTAAGCCCCAAACCCGAAAGCCTAAACCCCGAACTCGAGTCACTGTTCCAGTTGTTCCTGTTACCGCCTCTTCCGTCGCGAGGCGTTTGCAGAGCTCGGAGGTTGGGAGAGCCTCGGGCCAGAATCGGCGCATGATGCGATCTCATACTGCAAATAGCAGTAAATCTACACAGGTACATGACTACGTTCGAATTGTGTTGTGGCATATTCTAATTCTCACATCATGGAGTATAAGAAATGTTAGTATATCCTGCTACATATACCACAGCAGACTACGCTACACTGCAGAAGTGCCCTATGCGCAAGATCTTTCCTTCAGCCTGCTATCTGATCTGCCGCTTCAGGCCTGAGCCTGGATGATCAGCGCGACCTGCAGAGCCTTGTCAAAGGTTTCCTTCGAGTTTCGGCGAGCCTCGCGCTCTCGATCCCCTCGGACTTAACAACATGGAAAGGAGAATAAAGGGCGAGCGAACTCGAGATGGTAAAGTGTGATGCAGAGAGCCAGTGTAAGTAGCCTTTGTTACGTGGCTGCATTTCTCAGCAGCCGCAAACTCAGTACCCAATTCGTGCATGTATGTCAGTTGAAGAAACAACCAGACTCGTTCAGACTTAATCGTGCTCGCCTCAATCAATATCTCATCACGGTGCAAATCCCCGAAGTTGGGTAAAGCCACGCCGATCAAGGAAAAATGTTGGTGAGGGGGGGGACGGCGCTGGGTACAGGCCTGCGCCCTCTCTCAGCGAAGTGAAGTGAAGAGAAGGAAGAGTTGTGCCTCTGCAAACCTATGTAGTAGCCTAGTAGACGGGGATGAAGAAAAGCAGTATCGAGAGTAACAGGTGAAAACCGGAGCAAGACTATTTGCAATAATGGGTGCCAGATCATGCAAAAAGCTTGTTGGGCTTTCTCTGATCTGAGTCGGGGCGCTTTTTCGGACGACGAAGGAGCCTGGCCACGAAACTGGCTTCGGAGCTCGGAGCGAGTGAGGAGTTCATCGACAAGCCGCCGGAAGGCTCTGGATCAAAAAGTGAGTTTGGCGTTGCGTTGCGGGTAAATGGGGGGGGTTGGGGTTTCGGGTGTAGGGTCTTCGGGCCCAGGCGGCATCGCCCTGGACCCCCATTTTCTGCTCTTCGAGTGGCTCTTTGCCAAAGGGAACCTTCGCGCGAGCCAGCTGCGCCTGGTGAGCCACTTCGCAGAAGCAGCCAGGCCGCTTGGAGCAATGGGCACTTGGGACTCCCAGGAGACCGGACCGGAGGGAACCCCTCAAATATATATATATATATATATATTTGCATATGTCCATCCATATATATTTTTGTTTACTTTCTATCTTTTTTATGTATAACGGAAGAGCTTGTCTCCGTAAGGTCCGGCAAGGCTGTGATTCGGCAGCTCCTGATGGGGGAAGGCAAGTCTGCGGTGGTCGCGCCGCTCTTGGGCCTGCTCTTGGCGTCAGAGGGCCTGGTTCTCCAAGCCCTGGCCTCAGAGCGAGTCGCAGCACATGCCTTGAGGCCCCAAAATACCCAAGGAAAGACGGCGCCACATGGCCCCAAAGCAAAAAAAAATGGGAAGCCCCCCTTTATTCGTGTTCCTCGGAACCCTCCGAGCCGAGGTGGTTCCCGATCCGCTGCTTTCACAGAGCCTGGCTATGACCCGGGCGCTCTTCGGACAGGCCTTGGCGGGTCCAGACTCGATCAAGCTGAAAGCGTTAAAAGGAGAAGGGTTCAGGGCTTAGGTTCTGATGGGCAGCTTTGACCCACCCGGCTTCAGCGCTGTATCGGTGACACTGAGTGCCAACTCATTCCTTCGCCTCCTTTTGTGCTGCGTTGCTCCGGAGCATGGGGTTGTCGGAAGTCGTCGTGCATGTATTGAGGGCTTGACCTCTTCGCGGTGCGTTTACTTCTCAGGAGATGGCGGTCTGGTCTTGTCAGAGGTATATATGCATGAAGGCTTGACCCCCTTTTGTGCATTGGCCTTTGGGAGTCTAGCCGAACGTCTTGAGGCATGGAGACTTGGCCAATATCCAGTTGCATGAAGGTTTGAGCCATATCGCGCTGCATTGTTCTGCGTCGTTCAGATTTTGCCGCATGCTGTGCTGAATGAAGGTTGACTCGCTTTGCTGCATTGCTCTGATACCTAGTCGAATGTCATGAAGCATGAAGGCTTGGTCTCTTTCGTGCTGCTTTGCGTTTGGGTGGTGCCTTTTCGACAGTCGTGATGCGTTCTGATGATTATGGACTCTCGCTGAATGCATGCAGAGTTGAACCTTTTTCTTGCTGCAGTTCTGTGGTGTGAGGCAGTGATGTTGTGCCCCTGTGTGTGTGTGTGCGCGCAATATGGATCAAAGCTTCCAAATGGCATGTCGCCCGAGGCCTTCTTCCGGCCAGTCTACCACATGGGCTTCGACAGATCCGATGCCACTTCGACTTCGGCGTTTGCCTTGTTGCGCAAGCTGGCCACAGCCACCAAGCAGCGCGCTGCCGCGTCTCAGCCGCGCTGAAGAAGAGCATGCGTGCCTTGAAGTCCAGCTCCCGAACAGCCTCGTCGGAGAGAACGTTGTTGCAGAAGCCACGGATATGAGCAGTCTGAGTCAGTCTGAGGTCTGCTCCACTGCATCCTCCATCAAGAGCCACGAAGCTCGCAACTGGATCGTCCATGAGGCTTTACACAGTTGCACCAGGCTTGACGAGTGCATGTTATGCTTGCCTTCAGCCCTTAACCATTTCGAGGTCCACGAAGTTAGCCTGAAGTATGACTGGCACCCGCAACTCAACCCTAGACTAGATTCCTAGATGATGTCGTGGTTGGCCACGTTCCCCCAAATCCAAGACCCTAAACATCCCTACACCCTACAAGGCCCTAAACCTCTCAACCCTGCTTAGGTTGCATTTTGGCCTTCGTCGAGGCGGAGACGAAACTGAGCAGGCCAGATCTTGACAGTCTGCGATAGAGACATGAAGACTCCGTACTGTTTTGGATGTCCTGTTAGGGTGCAGTTATCGTAAAGATCGTCTACTCCTACTTACGACATCACCACTCACTACTCGATTGTCTCTGTTCGTGTTATCATCAACTCTGCTTCCGGTAGGATGTGGCAGAGTTGTATAGCAGGAGGTTGCTTGACTTCGGAAGCTTCCGGTTGCTTCAATGTCTAAACCCTAGACCCCTACCTAACCCTAAACCGATTGAAATTGCCTTTCTTGCCAGGCTGAAAGCGCCATCTGCAGCCTCAGCACGTACGGCATCCCAGCAGCCCAGCTCTACCAACGCCTTTTGGGGGTGTAGAGCAAGAATCTACAGGCAGTTTAGGGTACTCACTGCGGCAGGAGGCGTCCGGCAGCACTGTTCTCCCATTTCTTCCGCCTCGGTATCCATTCAAATTATCTGAGCAGGACGTAGTGCTTGTCGCAGAGTGGATCCCTGTAGTCCCTAGGTTGCCTCCTATGTTCATATAGGCCCTGTCCACTAGGAGGAGCTGCTATAGGATAATACCCCAAAGCCCCAGTCTGAATATTAAGGCCCCTCAGGCCTAAACCCCAACCCGGTGAAGCCTACGCCGTAGGTGTTTGGATTTGGCCTGCAAGCTCTGGCCTCGCATGGCAGATGCATCCCACGAGCTCCCCGACATTGGGGAATTCGGCGGTTAAGATAAGAGAGTTTAGAGTGTGAGGTATTAGGGTTTATAGGGTTTACAAGGTTGCAGAGTCGTTTAGAGTTTATGGTTGAGTGCATAGGGTTGGGGGGATAGGGAGGTTTTGTGTCTTGTCTTGTTTGGTTCGGTCTCTTGCTCTTGAAGCAAAGGTCATCTTGGGGCAGCAGCTATCAGGTATGAGACGTCGTAACACTGTAGCAGCGGTCGCGCTCCGTTCGAATGCTTCTGTCAATCAGCAGCTCTGGCTGATTTCTTGCGCATGGTGTGCAACGAGGAAGGAGCTCGAGTTCACCAGCATCTGCCTGGCCGGCGTTTTGTCCACGTTCCGGTCGAGCATTGGCGTCTTGGATGCGGCTTGTCTGGACCCAGGTGCCAGGCCAAAGAAAGTCAGAGTCTTGGCATGGCCTGAGGAAGTGGACTTGCTGCTTCACCCCCTGATGTCGGAGCTGCCTCTCGGCACGGCACTCCCCTCCCCTGAGGAAGGCGAGCTTCAGTTTTCCACGATTCCAAGGAACTTCCCGGTGGGAGCTCGCGAGCCTCTGGATCTTTCTCCTGAGCGCTGGGAGCTACCAATGTATCTCGGAGACCAGTTTCAAACCCCGGCCTGATCAGCCCGAAGCGCAGTGGATCAATCCTTGAGGCATCTTCTTCAGCCCTTCCTGTGCGTGGACGTGGACGTGGATTTGGAAGGCAGCCAAAGCCCCGCCTGGCAGACGTGCCACGAGGTGGGCTCCCAGAGAGTGCACCAGCTTTAGCGCTTCGACCTTCTCTTTTCGTGCCAAGTATATCATGCTCCGACTTACGTGGGAACAGATGGAGGCAGTAGTCCCTTACTTTGTGTGAACTTCGCTTGCTGGGACCTCGAAGGAGATCAAGAAGGGCCTGCAGCAGCTCGCTTTGCGCGACAGCCCGCATGTGGTCTTGGTGGGGGGCTCTGCTATTTAGTGCCTTTAGGGTCTCTCATCCCTAAACCCAAGTCACCCAAGTCTATAGAAAGGTTCCTAAGTCTCTTCTGAAAGCTTCGAGGTTATCGAGGACTTCTACTTCAAGCACCTGGAGCCTCCCTTGCGGTCCTGGCTCTGTGACTACTTTCGGGGGCATGGAGCCTTCAAAGAGAGCCAAGCACAGGACCCTAAACCCTCAAGCGCACCTAACCCAAACCCTACTTAACACCCTTATGCGAGTCAAGTGCAGGACTTGTTGGCGGCGCTGGGCGAAGGAGCTTCACCGAGTGCGACCGATCGGGCAAGCCAGCTGTTGGTTCTCGGCCGGGACTGGCTGAGGCTGGCCCCCGAGCCGAAAGCTTGAGCTTCTCCTGACATACCCTGAGCTCCGGTGATTTTTCCATGCACTTCAGGCACACCCTGCCTTTCGTCCTCGCAAAAGTCAACCGCGTGCACTATGGCCTGCTGCGACAGAAGGCGCATGGGAGACAGAGCCTGCGGAATCTCACTCCCTGACACCCCCGTGTGCTTTGTTAGCCTTGATCTGTGGCCATACATTCAGACCAAACATGCATGCCCTTTGCATTTTGGGTTGATCTTTCTAATTTCCTGACAGAAGCACACAAGTGCCTAAGGGTCCATCCCAGTCCAGGACACCCGAGACCTCGAAGCACGAGGCTACCCGGCGCGAGGCACCCGACTCCAGATGGCCGCACCTTGGAACCTTCAGGCATGACGGGAATCACAGTCTCAATGTGTCGCCTGATTCGTGTCCGTCCTGGTCGAAGCAATTGGTGTTCATACCTCCCCGAGTTTGACACATTGGGGCGTGCAACTCAATGCGGGCGATTTGCGCCAATCCTGCGCGACACTCGCCCACCCGATTCATGTTCGACATGGGCATGTGACCCAGAGCGGAAGACTTGCCCACGACTGCACTGTTTGACATTATTGGGTGCGTGAGGTGGAGGGCGGAAGTTGTAGCCCCAATGCTGATCGACAATCGGGCAAATGACTCACTCAGCATTGTAGTATTGACACTGTTGTGGCTGGGTCTGCCATTGTGGACTCAAAGGCCAAGCCTTGCCCCAATCGTTCGACATCCAGCATTCAAACGCGCAGCCCGAAGCAGAAGAGTCACTCCAATCCTGTGTGACAGGTTCGGAGCTGCAGCAATGCCGTTGGACATGTTTTCTCGCATTCAAAACGGACAGTAGTCGCGTGTTTATGGCGATTGTGCGCAAGAGTTGATTGAGCAAATTCGATCTTCGGGAGTTGCAAGGTACCTTTCACGGGCCTGGAGACGCCTTCCATCGCGTCAGAGTTCGCCAATCCCGACGTCGCAATTGGGTGCCTGGACGCGGAATGGTTGTCCAAGCTGGCACCTGCGTTGTGATATTGTTTCGTTGTTTTTAGCCCCAACCCCGAGCCCAAGTTGAAAAGTGAGTTTTTGGTGTGTGGACGGGTTGGCCCTGGACTCTAGATTCTAAACCTCCCACAAATTCCAAAGACCATGATTCTCAAACCAATGCCCAGCGAAGAACTTCGGAAGCAAAGGTTGACCATCCTCGCCTTCGGGCACGAAGGCATGCGCCGGAGCGACGTGAAGACTCTGCTGCTTTTGTCAGGGCCTTTCTTCTGGGTCCATGGGGAGGAATTTCACCTGACTTACCTGGGGATATGCACCATAAAGTCACTTTGTTTCCTCAGCCGTAGCCTGAGTATGGCAGCTTCATTGTTACAGTTCCCGCAAGCAAGGGTCTTCTCGCACACCGAAACCGCACCCCACGTGTCCCGAGGCTGAAGTCCGACCTCCTTCGTGATGCAGGGACTCCCACGGTGCAGCGCAAGGCTTTTCGGAGCTTCCAAGCATGGACGCAGTCGGACCCCGACCGCCCCGACCTTGAAGCGTCCGACTCCGGGGGCCCCGGGGTCCTGCCTTTGGATTTGATCCAGCCGGATCCTGCATCCATCCTCTCCCTCAAGAAGCTCTGGGCCGGAAAAGGAAAAGCACCCGTCTATCTTTACTACTTGACCCGCGAGATCTTTCCAAAGGCCACACCAGGTCAGACCAAGAAGCTCTCCGCCTGCGCACAAGAGCTGGCTTCGCCGAGTCTCTTTAAGGTAAGGCTGGGCTTCTCGGGAACCCCTAGCAACATCCTCCCCTCCAGCTTGCCTTTGGTGGAGTTCGATGGCACCACCGATGGGAAGACCATGGCTATCCTCTCCTCCCCGCACCTGGTCCAAATCCATCATCTCAAGTCTGGCTGGACACCGCAATCCGTGCTCAGATACGTGGCCAATAGGTGGGGAGCTGCGAAACAGTTCAGGGGAGCTTCTTTCAGGGTCGCCCTGGACTGGAGCCTCGATGCAGACAATTTTAGGAGACAAACGTTTAGATAGGTAGACACACAGGGAACCTATGATATAGGGAGAGAGAGACACAGATATGCCGTCACAGGCGACCGCGCTTCTGCGCCCTTATCGACACAGCAGCACTCCTCTGCGGCTTGGAGAACGAGGAGGTGGCAAAGTGGCTCATGGACAGCCCCCTGACGGAGGGTGAGGAACAAGACTCAAAAGAGGCCTGCATCTTCCTGGCCCGCGGAACCGACCTGCCCATGATTCTGCTGAAAGGCGCTGCTTCGGCTGTACCTTTGGAAGACGCCAACATCCTTCCGGAAAAGCGCTTTTGCTATTTCGACCAGCCGCACACTACGGGCATTGATATCAATCAGCCTTCACTGGGAGTGCGAAGCTCAGTCCTCCAAGAGCGGACACTCGTAGTTAGCCGCCCCTAGCATCCCACTCGCAGAGGTTGCTGCCATCACAATGGGAAAGGACATGAGCATCCGGGAGCTTCAGCAAGGGGCCTGGCGAATGCGCGGTCTTGCACGAGGGCAAACGCTGGAAATGACTCTTGGTTGGAAACCCTTGCTGGAATCATTGCATGCCCTAGGCACATGTCGACACCACCGGTCCTGCCTAGACGAAGGATTCTTCCCGAAGATGTTGCCGTCTACATGCGATCTGCTCAGTCGAAAGTCGCGAGGGGGTGTACATCCTGCAGCGCAAGAGCCATCCTGAAGCCATGTTTGGATTGAGCTAGGGGTTTGGGGTGTTTAAGGCTTCGGAATCTTCGTTCCATTGTGTTTAGTTTCTGTTTGGGTCTAAGGCGCAGTGCTCTGGAAGATGAGACTGCGGTGCCTCTTTCGAACAACTCCCGAGCGCTGCAAGACATCCAATCCTGTCTCTTGATGCGCTCCGCGGCAGCACGCGGGAGCTCAGCAGACCCTGCAAAACCCTCAAAGAAACGGTGCGGAATACTGGTGAGACCCAATTTGCATTGAATCTGTGCGTTGAAAATCGAGGCTCCGTGGAGCAGGAAGAACTGCAAGCCCGGCAGCTCGTGCGCCAAGATCTGGGGAACGTGTGGAAGTCTGAGGCTCTTCAAGCTTTGATGGCTGGTCGCAGGGAGGACGTGGAGGTGCCTCCGAACTCTACTTAACTTGTGGTGCTTGTCGGGATCTCTGGATCTTTTTATGGTTAGGAAGGTGTGCAGAACGCCGGCCACTTAAATTGGCGATTTTCGGCCTGCAGGTGCTTCTGGAGACCGTGAGCTCCGATGTCCTGCAACGAACACCGCGGAGTCTGCAGGAATCTTTGAGAGATTTGGCCGCCCCCTTTGTGAAGGCCGGGCCTTTGGCCGCAGCTGTTGAGAGGGCTGTGGAGCGAGCAGTACAACTTTTGGGCGATGTCATCGAGCATGGGCGTGGGGGAGGAGGAGGGGAAATCGTTCGCGAGCAGGAGCAGCAGCAGCAGCTGGAACATCAGGCAGGGCTGGTACCGTTAGTTCGCAACTGTTTCAGAGCTATCCATGGGTTGAAAGATCTTGGCAGTGCAGCCTCCCAAGCCTCAAAAGGTGGAATCGGAGAAGGACACGACGGTCAACCGGCCTCGCATTGGTGAGAGCCGTGTGTGGGACCTCCAGCAGAAGATGGAAGAGATTCTTGGTGCTGTCACTGGCGGGGACAAGATTCAAGACATCCACCTCTTCGCTTTCCCTTCTGCGGCGACGATCGCAGACACCTTGAATCTGGCCTCACAAGCCGGATCGGCCACACAGGCAGCGAAAGGACTGGAGGCCCGAGCGCGCTTGCAGAGCCTTCGTCTCCGATTCTCCCCGAACTCTCGCCTTACCAGCGAGATTCCGGTGCTTCGGCCTGTTCTCGTGGCCCTCCAAATCGCCGACGCCTCCACGTCCTCGTCCTCCACGTCTACCCTGGCCTTGTCTCTCTGCGAGGCCGAAAGCATCCGTTGGATTCTGGAGACAGAGAGAGATGTCCTCCGGGCCAGCTTCCTGCTCCATAGCATCTCCGAAACTCCGATGTTCGAGGCCTTCGAAGCTCGAGAAAACATCATCATGGCTCAGCACCATGCTGTTGGCCTGCATTAAAACACAACTTCTTGCCCTTAGCCTCAAGAGCGCGCATGCACAGAAACGTAAAAGAGAATACATCTATCGGTCTGTCGAGCTATCTGTCTATCCATCTATTCATACTGCACCTGTCTAGCCGCCAATCTACCTGTCTCTCTATATATCCACCTTTCTATGCATCGTTCTCTGTCCATAGGGCACGTAGTCTGTTTCGTGCATTCGTCCTTCCCGAGGTATGGTGCCCATGTCTGCTCGCCACATGCGTGTACATGCTTTTATGTGTTCATTCTGTTTCCGGTCCGGCAGAGTTTCTCTCAGCTTGGGATGCGTTTGGGCAGGAGACAGGCTTCTATGTACGACATCTCCTGTTGAAACAGCCTGGGTTTGCTTAAAGTGGGTTTCCGTTTCCACATGAAGAAAGCCTCGTCTGTTTTGCCTTCCACTGGACTGGAGGGAGGGCTCTGAAGAATTCTCTCTCTCTCTCTCTCTCTGTTTCTTTTTCTCTGTCCCCTTCTTTCGTTCTCTTTCTGTTCGGTTCGTTGGTCCTCTCCGTCCTCTCCCTCTCATATCAGGGTGCTTCGTCATGTTAAGATCGCGTAGATAAGATGAGATGCGAATAGAGTAGATGATAGTTAGGTACCTGGATGGATAGCGACAAGTCGAGAATTGCATACACTACAACACTTGGCACACATAACTGCTATATCATGGGCTATATCCATTGCAACCCAGGTGCTTTGCCAAAGCCGGCAGACGCTGGCCGTTTCGCAGGCCGCCGTCAGCTTCTTGCGCTTCTACCTTGGCGAGTCCTGGTTCTCTGAAAGCGACTCCAAGCGGCAAATTCGGGGCAGTGGGCGGCTGCTCTTCTTCGTTTCGGGTCTGGGTTTAGCGGCCTCGAACCCGCCACGGTGACCGGGTGCTGCAGCTGCGATTTAGGTTCAACATAATCGCCGTCCGCGCCGCTGGGCATGGAACCGCTTGCTTAGTGTAATACCACGACTTGTCCTATGATGCTCGTCAGAGCCTCGTGGTCACATGTGGTCCAGTGCTAACGTCCCTGAGCCTGAGCCCACAAGCCACAGTCCTGGAAACCGAAGCTGTAGGCATCTGTCAAGACAGTCTTTCATTGCTGGAATCTCCCAGGAGGTGCGATGCTTGAAGGACATCGTGGGCAAGGCCAAGCAGGACCTGGGGCTTGGAGTGGTGGTTTTAGCGTTGAGGGCTGATTTTCGATGCAAGACGAAGTTACAGGGAATGCTGTTCCGAGGAGCCTCACACCGGGGTCAAGGCATCGCCTCTGCCTGCATCTCTTGTGTACACCGACTTTGATACACCCAACACCTGGACCCTGAAAGGCCAAGTTCTAAAACTGAAAACCATAGACTCAACCTGCAAAGTGCGAGGACTTCCAGCGGCTGCGCACGGCGGTGTTCGCTTGCCGGCGCCCGGGAGGCTCCGCAGATTGGGCCTCCACGCCTTTGGCAGCCATTTTGGGTGCCGAGCCGAGCCTCGCGGAAAGAGGCGGAGTCAGTGTGGTCGATCTTGATAGCGGCTGGGGTCCACACACGGGCTGAGGAGGCTTCTGAGTGTCTCGTTTTTGTTGCGGGTGACGAGTTTGGGGAAGTGCCTCTCTCCCGGCCAGTCGTGCCGCCACCTCCGGGCCCCACCTACCTGGAACGATCCTTTGACGCAAGACAGAGCAAGAGAGGCAAGAAAAGGCAGGCTACGCGCGCATCCCCCAAGCCCTTAGAAGCCCTTTTGACCCGAGCCTTAAAAAGAGACCTTCTTTTTCTGGATCCGACCGAGGCTTTAGCACTGAAGCCTTGGCAGGTGCGGTGCTCAAAGCCCAAACGGATCCCCTGTCTAGAGTTTTTGTAGGGTTCAGGTCTAACATTTACTTTTGAGGGTTCGTAGGGTTTAGGGCTCGCAGGGTTTAGGATGTGGGATCCCTTAAACCCCAAACCCCAAACCTTCCCTTTTTAGCTCTGAGTTCAGGTGGCCAGGACTTCGTGGAGACCTACGCCCGCCAAGAGCCGAGCCAGGAAAACCGGTAAAGACAAGGAGAGAGGGGGGCAAGCTTTAGGGCCCTTTAGGGTTAGGGGGGGTTTTTCTATGGATGAACACTCCAAAATCTTAGACTCAGAACATCCATGAGGAGAGCGCCGGGACTGCGACCGTGCACTGCTACACCGCCTCCGTCGAACCATCCAATTGACTACCTGGCGCTTGGGCTTGGGAGTAGCGGGAGCGGCTTCGGCAGGCGTCGGCGTGGAAGAGGACGGAGGCTCCGGCCGTTCGTCCGTCACTGTGCAGGTGGCCTTCTCCGACCTCTTGTCTGGGCGTTCAAAGTGGATTTCAAAGCGGGTAAGATTGTGGCTAGTGCAAGTGGCGGAGTGGTCTTCGGCATCCGGCGCAGGAGGATGATGAGGATGAAGGCTCCGGCGGTTCGTCGACGACGGTGCTCTTGTCTGGGCTTTCTTACAAGACGACCAAGTTGGTTGTTCGAAGTGGTCAGACCGCTTCTCAAAACATTTGCACGCAAGACTATGCTTCAGATGCAACCATCTCGCATCGCGCTCTGCTCATGTCTGCCCGATCTTGCTCCGGCGGCTCTACCGACCTTGAAAGACTGCCACTGCGTCATAGTCCGGTGCTGGCACAGTCCGTTCAGGCTTTGCAGGGGCGGAGGTGGCCATTGACTTGCCGACAAGGTTTGCCGCAAGGCTCCAAGAGTGAGTTGTATCGGTAGCATGCGTCGTAGCCGCGCCAGCCCAATTCGCATTCCAGCAGCGATGTCCACATCGGAACGGGGCAAGCGCAGGTCGGACTCCAGGCACCTGCGTCGGAGGAAGCCGAAAAAGGGTCACCTACACGTCCGTTTTAAGTTTATGCCTGGAATGATTCGTTCAAAGACTGTAAATAATCACAAAGGCATCCAACTAGCATAGTGTTCAAGAACAGATTACAGATTGGTGCAGGAGAGTGCTTTTCCAGCTTCTTTTTTTACGGCTGCCATGCGCATC